GAACTCTCGTTTTGCATCCGTGTCGGTTTGTTCTTGGCACGGACCTTGTTTTCCTTGTTTGGAAGGTGGTACAAGGGTGGGAGACCTGCTTTCTCCTTGGAAACCATTTTTCTCCGCGCTAGCCCGATTTTCTGGTCGGGAAGCTGGTTTTCTTGGTCTTTGGGCCACATTTTCTGGTTTCCCACCCCAACATTGGCTTTCTTTCAGTGTGGAGACTACCAATTCCCTTGGCTAACCACTTTTTTTTTTTTTTTTCTGGGAGACCACTTTGGGTGGTCGGCCGACCACTAAAAGTAGCAGGCCGACCAGCCTTTCTGGTCGGCAGCTTTCCTTCTGTTTTGGCAGACTGAGTAGATGCCAGCTGTGTCAGCTGGAGGGCACAGACTGTATGTGTATGAAGGGATTGCATCCAAATCTTAGCTTCTCCAAGAAGCTTTAACCTTTGTTTTCTATAAGAGAGGGGTTCTCTCTTCATGTCCAGGGTTCTGATTTTTGGTGGAGAGCATAGGCATACTCTTTCTCTCTATATTCCCTTCTCTCTCTCTCTCTCTCTCTATATATATATATATATTGAAGCCTTAAAGTGCATTTTCTTCACATTTGTGTACACAACCTCCTATCCAAACACTCTTGCCTTGTTGTTGAGTTGCTGGAGGGTCTTGTGGAGACTTCAAAAAGCTGGTTTTGGGCTGGAGCAAGTGCTGTTGTTGAAGTGCTTCAAGGGTAATCTTTTTTTCCCTTTTTAAGCTCTATTTTGATCACACTCTTAGCCATATTTGCATGCTTCTCTTGTCTTAGCATTAAACTACAAAAAGCTTTTTGTTTCAGTCCTTAACATGTTTATTTGAGGCCTTGTTGGTGTTGGGGGTGGTCTACCCCCTCTTAGGCCTTGTTTTTCCTTGTTTTGAGCCATCTCTTTGAGCCTTTGAGATCACCTTCTCCTGGCCTTTTAACCACTGAAATCCAGCAGATTTTCAGTGGGGGAAATGTGGTTTTAAGGCCTGAAATGAGAGGGGGTGATCCCCCCCTCTTGTCATGTTTGTATGCATAGAGGGTCTATCAAATGAGCACGTTTTTTCACTTCTTTGTGGCTTTGTTTAAGCTTGTTTTGGTGACTTTTGGGACCGGCTATGACTCTGTTTTTGGCTGGTTTGATGGTCTCTTGAGTGGTTCATACACTTGTAGTGTAATTCCATATTGCTAGCCTAACATGCTCTATACTTTGGACCATCATTTTAGTTTTTTTTTTACCACACTCTAGCATGATTTTGTCCATGTTTTTCCATGCTTAATCTCTGTTTTAAGTTCTTTAGGTCATGTATGCCTCGCTTTGTATAGCCTTAGTGCATTTTGGCTCACTAGCTTTGAGTTTCATGGTCCCTAACATGGCTTACTTGAGTTGTTTGCATGCTTTGGCCTCATCTCTAACATGATTTCATTTTGTGTAATGTGTCCATACCCTCACATTGGTCACTCATTCAATGCTTTGAAGAGTTAGTGTTTCATGCCTTAAGAATAGGTCATTGTGCATGCCATCATGCTTAGGCCTTTGGGCCATCATTTCAGTGTTTATTTGGGGTTATTTTGGCATGCCTCAGATCTGTTTTGATTTGGTTCGGTCATCCCATGAATGCCTAATACACTTGTAGTGTAAATCACACAAACTAGTCTTGTATGCTTCATGAAGTAGCATGTCATTCTAGGTTGTCTTGTTCCCATTTCAGCATGCTTTTGGTGATGTTTTGCTATGTCATGACTCTATTTTGGTTAGGTTTGGTTGGCTCTTGCATGCTTCATGCACTTGTAATGCATTTCCATAAAATAGCCTAACATGCATCATGCTTTGACATGTCATTCTAGCATGCTTTTGGCTTAACTTTAAGAAGCTTTTGTCCATGACTTACCATGCTCTGGGACTATTTTTGGTTACATTGGTCATATGCTTCATGTTTTGCATAGTTGTAGTACAAATACATACGCTAGCTTCAAGCTTTGGGTGCCATTGCATGCCTCATTTGTGTTGATTGGGTGATTTGGCATCATTTCCCATGATATTTCAGAGCATTTAGGCCTGCCATATTCCCACTTTTGTCACACCTTGAGTACCCCTAAGGGTTGTGTTCTTGTTGCTTAGCTTGTGAACCAATATGTATGCATGTGTGTCTTGCCTTTTGGTGCCTTAGTCTTGGTGTTATGGCTGCTGATTTGGACATGGTTGAGGCCTATTCATTTCAGTTTAAGTCCATTGCGCATTGAGTATGTCATGTAGTTCGTAGCGTTGAGCATGCCATGTTGTTACATAATTGAACATTGCATTTGTGCATGCCATATTCATTGCATTCTGTATGTTAGTTGTCATGTGCATTATGTAGGCAAGTGTCATGAGCATTGTGTATGCCATGTAATTCATAGCATTGTGCATGCTAGTCGCATGTTTCCATGTCCATCCCTTGCATGTTCGCATGTCTAAGTTGTATCGCATTAGGTTGCATACTTGAAGTCGCATTGTGCATGCCACGCTTGTTACATTGTGTTTGGGATAGGAGTTAGCCCAAACATGGGAAATGAGGAGGCTTTCATACTCGAAGTGATGAAACGCGCCTCAATTTTCGGTCGCCGACACTCTTGACTATATATGATGGAGTTGTAGGCTTTACGTGTTCATATGTGCATTCATTTCATATTGAGTTGCACAATTCGGCTCCTCAGCCATCATGCATCGAGGTGCGTGATTGATGGCCCGAGAATCAAGACCCATACTCTCTTGAGCTCATGTAATGATAGGGAGGATGGTTGTGCACGCATGTTTGCAAATACTTTGCCATGCCCTTCTCTTGCCCTCTGTTGTAGAAAACCAAAAACCAGCAGCAAAAACTGGTCGGCCGACCAGATAAAGTGGTACGCTGACCACTTTTTCTGGTTTTCACCACAAAAAGTGGTCGGCAAGTGGTCTCCAAAGCCAACAACTGGTTGGCAGCCTTCCCACAGGTTCCCTTGGTGGAGTTGTAGCCCTCTGGAGCTTGTGTAGTGTTTTGAGATCAATTGCAAACAGAGGCAAGTCGGGGCATCGCGATGGATTTTCCCACAAGGCGACCGGGCATGCATCCCTCGTCATGGGGCCATTTTAGTACTTTTGTTAGCGTAGAATGTATATTTGTTTCAATTTTGGTTGTGTAATAATTAATTAGCTAGAACAGTTAGTTAATTAGTCGGTTCTGTATTATTTATTCGGACCCTCCGTCGAGAGGGCAAATTTTGTAATAAGTGTGCGTGTGTGTGATGCATGCCATCCAACCCCCACTTCTTTCTCCTTTTTTATTTACCAGCTTGCGATGGTTAGTTTTAGGGCATGTTTCAATTAGCATCCTTATGCTCGCATGTTTGCATCCATTCATCTGTCTTGCTTGCACCGGGCTCGGCACATCATACTAACCGTATCGTATTTCAATTCCAAGTTGAATGCGTGTTATCTGTAGCATCTCATATGCCATCTTAGAATGGCCGAGCCTATCTTAGTTGCATTCTTGCATGTGTTGCATTAGCCATCTTAACATAAACTAGGATCATGCATTGATTACTAACTAGTTTCTGTTTTGGCTTGGAGTACTCGGTGAGTGTTTTTGCTTTAGCATCCTTGCATGTGTGTGAGTGACTCCCATGATAGCATGCTTACCATGAGGCTAACTGCTTATGTGATATAACTACCTGAATGCCTGTGGGTGAAGGTTGGATTACTTAAATTGGAATAATTCATTGATTGCGAGTTTTAAGCCCACTTGAGAGTGGCAAATCACCATATTTTCTAAGCCCACTTGAGGGTGGCAAAATTCGCATTTTAGCCTACTTGCGAATAGCAAACCGCTTTAAAAAACAAACATGAGATGTTTTGTTCCAACTTAGGTGATCTAGTCTATACTTGTATGTTGTGCGCATCACATAGTAATTCTAGGCTAATAAACTGGAATAAGAACGCATGTGTTTTCAAAAACAAGATATCATATTTAGTAGTGGCCGATGTTTGATCGGGCGAACGGGGGTGCTCATTGCATGACCTTCCCCAATCGTACCCAAGTTGGTGATGACGGACATGTGGCCTTAGGCACGAGTCAGGGTTTCCTAAATTCCCCCAAAATAAAATATTTAGGTGGCGACTTTCTATCTGGTAAAACAGTCCATGTTTGGCACTTCTTTCTAAAAATTAATTTTTCAAAACGATTTGCCAGATTTGGACTCTTTGGTGATTTATCGATCTTGCATTGCACTTTATGAGATTAGATTCAGAATCGTGACAATTGGGTCTGAGTTGTAGTGAGCCCAATGAACAAAGCGGGATTTTTCCCGGGACGTTCAGGTGTGTCTACAATAGCCACATGGGATAAGTAACTTCTCACATTACCACAACTGCCAGTAGCTTATCAACTTCATCAATTACGGTTGTGGTATGTTCAGTAGTTGAATGGCGACTCTTTTGAATAACCGGCTTAGCCTTTGGATCAACATTCAAGCTATGCATAGTAATAGTTGGGTCGACTCATGGCATCTCATAAGGCATCCATGCAAAGATGTCAATATTGCTGAGGAGAAAAGATATCAGCTCTTACTGTTTGGCGGTATTGAGACCTGTGCTAATTAGGAAGAATTTTTCAGGATCCTCTATTAATATTTGATCCAAATCCTCTGCAACTTTATCAGCTGGGACTTTTTAAACATCTTCTAGATTTTCTTGATTTGGAATTTCAATTGAATTTACTTCCAAGTCTTTGGGATTCTCGATTAGGGCCGAAAGGTAGCAATCTCTCGCTAACCTCTATGAACCACAGATCTATTCAATTCCATACTGAGTTGGAAAACAGAGTAATTGATGGTAAGTGCTTGGTATAGCTTGCATTTCATGAAGCCATGTTTGGCCCATGATTATGTTGCAGGGCAAGGGAAGTTTCATGACCAGGAATTCAACTTCCAGTGTTTGGTGCCTGTACGCACTGGTAGCACAATTTTTCCTAAAGGGTATTCTGGATTGGCGTTGAAGCCAAAAAAAGGTACTTGGCTAGAAAAAAGTCTGCATCTGTGAAGCCGAGTTTGAGAAATTTCTTGTAATACATTATTTCAGAAGTGCTTCCCTGGTCAATCAAGATGTGATAAATGGCAAACTTATTAACCCGTAACTCGATTACGAGAGCGTCATTGTGTGGAATGGTAACTCCTTTAAGAATTGCATCTGAAAAGCTGATCTCATTTGACAAACGAGGCCATTTGACTGACATACCGGACTCAGGGTTAAACCTGGAAGATTGCAGTTGAACCAAATTTATGTCGTTTGATGGAGGTATGCTGTATATCATGTGGATCATGCCGATAGGTGGTGAATCGAGGCGTACATCGAGCACACCTGGTGGGTTCTCTGTCTTTGGAAGGTATTCTGCCAATCGGCCTCCTTGGACCAACTCTTCTAGGTGATCTTTTAAAGCATAGCGTATGTCGGTTGTGTGTCCATGGTCTTTATGATATTCACATCTCTGATCCCTTCGTCTCTTGTCGGGGGGCCCAAACATCTTACTCGGCCATCTGAAGAAAGGATGATGTTTGATTTTGCTTAGAATTTTGCTAACTGGCTCAATGAACTCCTCATACTTTTTATTTGGTCACCTTGAGTGCCTGCTCTGTACTTAGTATTGCTCACTTTGCCGACGAGAATCTCGGTGATTTTCTGTTCTTGATCGGCCTCTTGTTTCTGGATTTCTGACTGACAAGGTTCTTTCTGGTGGTGCGACTGTTAGAGGTTGTACCATAACAGACACAACCGATTTAGCCACCTGTAATCCGGCTTTAGTTCTTATTGCATCATCTTCCACTTTACAATACGCCTAAACTTTCTTTTTTCATCAGGGACCAGACTGTTTTAGGGGGGTCTTCGAGTTAATGAACTCCTGAATGGACTATTCGGATGTAATCCCATCTTGAAGGCGGTGATCGCTATAGAAGCATTGCAGTCATCATCCACCAAATTGAAGCATTCCCAATGCCAAGCTGAATATTCGCATAGGGTCTCCCCCTACTTTATCTTTATTGCCCAAAGGGAGTCTGCCTGTTTCAACTGAGTTTCATTAGTGATGAATCAAGACCTAAAGGATTTCTCGAGTTTGTGGAAACTCTAGATCGAAGCCGGCTCAAGTTTGTAATACCACCTGACGGCGAGTGGTCCCAAACTACTACGGAATATTCAACACGTGAGTGATTCATCGTCTGCATGTAGTGTTATGGCCTGTTTGTAATGACGGACTTGATCGGTAGAATATGATTTCCCGTTGTATAGAGTGAATGAAGGTGCTTTGAACTTCTTGGGCAATACAGCTTTGGCTATGCATTGTACGAAAGAGTCATGCCTATCTTCCAAATCTGAATCATTATGTCTCGTTCTATGGTCGTAGCGCATTCTCGGACTTCCATTCGACAAGCTAGAATTGTCCACTCGGCCTTGGGTTCATCATCTTATGATGGCGATGTACTGCTGTTATTGTCGTGCCTCCGGCGATGATGTCTCTGTTTGGCTTTCCTTTTTGATGATTGACTTCGATGTTGTGCAATCTCTTGGGACTTGGCCAGCTCTTGACGCAGGCACTCATTATTAGCAGCCATGCTTTCCAAAAGTTGCTCATTGTACTTCGCTTGGGTGATAAGGGTTTGCATGGTGTCTTCTACTAATGTTGAAGGTAACGAAAGAGTTGTCGAGTCAAAGTTCGAAGATCTTCTAGCGGGGGTTTCTTCAGGACCAAAAATTGTTCCTAGTGGATTACTGTCTCCTGTGACCAAGGGATCTTGGGTTAGGTTTGCCATGGATGAATTTGAGTATTCCCACAAACGACGCTAATTGTGAGGAAGTGGATTTGAAAAACTCCTTTATCCAATCAGACCCTTGAAAAATCCTTCGAACGCCACCTGAAATAGAAGAACAACTCCGGTCAGTGGTGCCGAAATTAGCACTCTGATGAACAAGTTAATTTCTTAGAGAGAGAACTATTGCTATTTTTGTACTAGTAAATATTTTTGAACATACCTTCTTCTTGAGTCTTCCCCCCCCTTTTATAGAGTTCCTTTCCCTAGGCTTTTATCCTATTTGGGTACTTTCTCATCATTTTCTTGATGGGGTCCACTTCCCCATTATGCTTCATGGAAAATAAACAGCTGCCATCCAATTGGACGATGCCGAGTTCCTTTATAAATTCCGTTTGGTCACGCTAAAGTATACATCACTCAGCAACCACTTTTCTTCATGATGTTTACTCGATTCTGACTCAACCCAGTGGGCTGTTCTTGGACTGGGCCCAATCGAAATAGGCTGGGCTGTTGTCTACCTTTTTCGGTCTTTATATTTTCACTCTCAAAATATTCAAGACATTGTGAGATATGTTGTATCCGTGTGGATTTTTCATACACAATTAAGAACATTTGATGTAGAGATTGAATATTATTATAGGGAGTTTCATTAGATTTCACGAAAAATCACATTGAAATATTCAATAATCGAACTACTTTTTTAGGTTAACGCCAAAACATAGCTTATTTTTGTCCTCAAAACTAAAAAAAATAAAAAAAGGTAAAGAAATCACTTGGAGAAAATTAATACTCCCACTGTCCCAAAATATTAGTCCCTTATTCTATTTTTCATTGTCCCAAAATATTAGTCCCTCTTCAAAACTCAAGTACAAAAATAATATAAATTTCCTATTTTGCCCTTCTTTTAAATTAATAAACAATATAAAAAGTACAATTATAACATCAATATTCCTAAAAAATGTACTATCAAAAGGATAATTTTGGAAAATCAACTTTTTTCAAATGCAATAATTGTACTACCAAAAAAAGTTAGATTCCCCAAAAAGGACTATTATTTTGGGACGGAGGGAGTAGATAAAATACGACGACAAGACTTCATTTTGTGGTTCACATCAAAATAAGGTACAAACTTTAAATATCTGTACTATCATAGTGGATATATTGTTGGGTATACTTCCTTATTGGAGTGTGGGACCTAATGGTTTATTAAAAGAGTTTTAATTTGGTTTAGTATTAGTTATAATATATTTTTATATATTATATCTAATTTGGTGGAGACCCAATTCAGTTTGGAAACAACTAAGGCTTTGATAATAAACCCTAGATTCACAATATTTTAGGTATTGTTTTTGCTCATCCGGAAGTTGAGAACAGCTGCTACACACACTCCACTTTTGTGGAATCAATTATTTGGGTGTGTGAAAAGTGAAATTAATTTGGCTGGTTCTTTACTTCGTTTTCGGTATTGATTTGGTTCATTATTTTGGATCTTTTACAAGTCTGGTTCTAAAGATTTTAGTTCATATATTTGGTGAGGTCTTTTCTCTTGGTTATTTGTGATTATTTGGAATTCACCTAAGGGTGGTTTTATGAGACCATTCGTGTCTCGTTTGTAATCGTTTGGAAACTATTTGGTTGATAGTGGAATCAGATTTCGATCCCGTGGACGTACCTCACATTGAGGGAACTACGTAAAAATTCTTGTGTTGCTTTTGATTTAATTTTTTCGCATTAGTTTTTATTCCCATTGATTGATTTACTTGTGGGGAATCATTAATTTTCCCTAACGACTGGTATTAGAGCTTACGATTTGTTTGAGTTTATTTATTTGTGTAAATCAATGGAGGGGAATGTGGGTTGCATGTTTAGCTTCAATGGAAGCAATTGGGTAACTTGAAAAACTAAAATGGAGGACCTATTATGTTGTAAAGATTTGTATGGACACATTGAGAGTGATAGTGGCAAACCCGAGGGTATGAAAGATGATGAATGGAAGAGGCTTAATCGAAAAGTCGTTGGTGTTATCCGTCAATGGATTGATGACATTGTGTTTCATCATGTTGCTACTGAAACTTTGGCACATAATTTATGGAAAAAATTAGAGTCTTTATGATAGAAAATCAGCCACAAATAAAGCCTTTCTGTTTCAAAAGATGGCAGCCCCATTCCAGAACATTTGAATGAAATAAAGAGTATTGTTAACCAACTTGCTTCTATGAAAATTATTTTTGATGATGAGTTGCAGGCTTTGATGCTACTTAGTTCTTTGCCCGACATTGTGTTTCATCATGTTGCTACTGAAACTTTGGCACATAATTTATGGAAAAAAATTAGAGTCTTTATGATAGAAAATCAGCCACAAATAAAGCCTTTTTGTTTCTAAAGATGGCAGCCCCATTCCAGAACATTTGAATGAAATAAAGAGTATTGTTAACCAACTTGCTTCTATGAAAATTATTTTTGATGATGAGTTGCAGGCTTTGATGCTACTTAGTTCTTTGCCCGAAAGTTGGGAGACCTTGGTTGTGACTGTTAGTAATTCGGCGCCCGATGGAGTTGTCACAATAGGCCAAGTCACTGGTAGCCTCTTGAATGAAGAAACTAAAAGAAAATCAGCGGGTTCCTCTCAGTCAGAAGCATTTGTTGTGAGAGGTCGAAGCAAAACAAAGGGGAGGAGTAAGACTCTTCATGGTCGTGATCAAAGCCGTGACAAATCAAGAGATGGTTTTTTTTTCAAAGAAAGACATTGAGTACTATTATTGCCATGAGAAAGGGAACATGAAGCGAGAATGTCGAAAGCTCAAGAACAAGGAGAAAATGCGTGACAAAAATGTGGATAAGAAGGAAGAAGACACAATGGTAGTTACTACCGATGATCTCATGGTCATTTGTGAAGATGATTGTATCAATTTTGTGGGCCAAAAGAGCAATTGGGTGATTGATTCCGGTGCTTCTTTTCATGTGACTTCTCGAGTTGATTTCTTCACTACCTACACCAAAGGAGATTATGGTTCTGTTCGAATGGGTAATGAAGGTTTGTCCAAGATTATCGGCATGGGTGATGTTTGCTTGGAAACGAATTTGGGCTGCAAGTTGTTACTTAAAGATGTGAGGCATGTTCCCAACATTCGCTTCAATTTGATCTCTACCGATAAGCTAGATGATGAAGACTTCAACAACAAATTTGGTGATAGAATATGGAAGCTCATAAAGGGTTCTTTGGTGGTGGCTAAGTGCAAGAAGACTCATACACTTTATTCGATGCAAGGAAAAATTTGTAAAGGTGTTGTCAATGCACTTAAAGATGATA